GGCCTCAGGCGTCCGCGGCGGGTCCCGGCCGTGTGGGCCGTTAACGGCGGTAAACCGAGCTCGCCTGCTCCCTCCTTCCCCGCCGGTCGGCGGCCCCGGGGGAAGGGGGCAGCCCCGAGGGGCGCTGCCCGTCGCGCTTCTTCCCGCGGGACGGTTGCGTGGTCCCGGGCCCTCCCGGCAGGGGAGCCGGTGGGAAGGTGCGGGGCTGGGTTTGGGCCGGTGCCCGCTATCGAGCACCTCCGGGTTGGCGGGAGGAGGAAGCGAGGAGCGGGGTTAACGTATGAAACTAGTGCAAGGTGCCTTTGGAGCTTTCTTTAGGTGTTCACAATAATTTGTCTTTATCTTTTCTTTGCTTCGCAATCTGGGGCACTGATGCTAACACAAATAATACGATGTACTAAAGCCTCCGTTTATCGATTGCTGCTTCCTCCATCACATTTGCACATTTAGCATCCTCGCTTTCAGGTGTCTCTTTTGCACACAGCTAAAGACTTAATATGCAATTTAAATTATTTAGATCAAGCCTTTCAGTTCTGTTAAAAACCTTTTTCACTAAAAAGCAACATAACTTAAAGTAGTGTTACAGTATTTTTTAAATTTGTGAGTAGTATTCGCTCTCCGTGCTGCTTAAAGGGCTAGAGAAGGAAAGCCTCTGCCTGCTCCCTGGTGTGAGGCATTCTCATGGACTCTGGGGAGGAAATCCTTTTGTTATGTTGTACAAATTACATAGGGCCTTTGTCGGAAACCCAGGTGCAACGATCACATAGAAGCTTGAATGGGGACATTTACTGCAAAGATTTAGAGGGGTAACCTTACTGCAGTAGTCAGAGTAGTCACTATGTAAGTGACTACTTGAGACACTATGTAAGTGACTCACTTGAGAGTAGTCACTGTGTAAGATTTCTTACAGCATTTTCGGTGCTCCAGTAGGTTTTTTTTACAGCATGTACTTTATTCAAGTGATTTTGTTTCTTATTGAGGGAGGGTAAGATCCAACTGGTAGAACTGAGAGGCTGCTACTGTAAGTTAAGGGCTTTCTGAGATATTGTTGTATGACCTTAAGTCTTTACCATGGTGTGTGTTTCTGGCTTTCCTTTAATGTTTTACTTAACTTTAGTAGTGTATAGTACCTTTTATTTCTTTACAGCCAAAGTTGCGAAAAACCCAAGGAGGGAAGCAGGAGAAGAAAGTTATCCATCCTTACAGCAGAAAAGCTGCGCAGCTTGCAAAGGAAGCACACAAACAGGAAAAGAAAGAAAAGTAAGTTGACTACACAAAATCTCTATGGAGACCAAAGGATGGTATCACAGTAGATACTTTTTGCTTGGGGGGAGGGGGCTGCTGGTGGAAGGGGACTGTTAGGCTGATACAACCTTAAGATAACAGAAAGGCCTGTATAACTTAGTACTGCTGGGCCATGTGAACTGACAGGTTTGTATTCATAAATCCATCTTATACAAAGTGTATGGTTCTGCTGCTTGATTTTTGGTATTGTCCTTACAAGTTAGGTTTCTTCTTATTGCAGCATTTTGCTTTTATAATCTGAATGGCATGATGCTGGTGATTTCACATGAAGTTTAGTCACCTAGTTTGACTTTACTCCAAGATTAGAGTCCTGCTTAGTGTCTAGCTGTTTCTGCAGAAGTGCTGAGTTTAAGAAAAGAAAACCCAGAAACCTTCCGGCAGAAGAGAGACTTCCCAATAAAACTGAGTAGTTAACTCTTCTTTGGTGATTTCCTGCTATTCCATGTCAAGTTTGGTTTTCTGGTTTTAAGATTTATTTCCCCCTTCCACAGAGGGAAAAGATAGCTGGAGAAGATTGGCCTTCAGTTTCCATTCTGTCTCAGCTTGCTAGTTGTTATGCTATGATTGTTTGTTTAGGATGTTATTAAAGCACACCTAAAGCATTTTCTGTCAAAGTAGGCTAGTATTTGCATGGACCATACCATGTCGGCTGAGCTCAAATACTTGTATGTCTGAATGTATCAAATTGGGAACTCCTAGTGCAGTTGAAATGTTCTTCAGAGACTGACTGTGCAAATTTATGGTTGGGGATGGATTTCCAACCTTTTCCACACCAAAGGTGTGAGGTGGTTCTAACTAGAAAGGGGCCCTTTACTAGCATAGCTGTGTCACATATCCTCAAGCAGAGCTTCTGCAAGAATTTACAAGTAGCATGTATTGAGGATTGAGCAGTTTCTTGGTGTGCAGGAAGTTTTCCCTGCTGCTTCATGTTTTGTCTGTGCTCTGACTGCTGATTTTAAGGTAAGTTTTTATTGTAGATTATTATTTTCTTAATGCTAAATTGACTACTTCATCCCTTAACTCTCATCTTGCCTTATAACTGCCACTCAGAGCACATAATCACAAAAGATAACTGAATCATACTTGATTCTTAGTGTTTAGATACGTGACTTTGCCGTAAAGAAAAACAGGCACAAGAAAACTTACTGAGTGAAGGAGTGATGTACTGATTATTCATTATGACACGGCACGCTCAATCAAATCTTTTCGTGATTGTCTCTGTGGGTAGAGTTATACTGATAGAGACACTTGTGGTGATGTTTCCTGCTAGAGTGCTACTTTTGGTTCTTCTTGAAACAGGAAGAAGTTAAAGCAAAGAACTCCCACTGGAATAGTGTTCTTCCATTTAACTTTAATTACTTTTCTTAATGGAGAAGATTTTAAGGTGTATGTTAGAGATTGCACAGGGCAATCTATTTTGTTGCAGGTGAGAGAGCACCAAATGCATCATTCATGGATTAATGTTTCAGTAATCAGGTTCCTTTCCATGAAAGGGAATGAAAAGATGTTGGCTTTGTACTGGCTAGGCTTTGCTACAGAGGCAGATAGATTTAGCAAGTCATAGTATGTAAGTAATGTTGCTTTATTCTAACATGGGTGTTTTTTCTGCTGAACAGTGGAAAAGTTTACTGCTTTAAGGATACTCGGAGCAGTGTCAGGAAGTGTTGGGCTACAGGGGCTACCTTTGCAGCAGTGGACTCTTAAACCACTGCTAACATTGCCAGGTGAAGTCTACAGAGCAAAATGTGGAATTGGTTGTTTTAGGAGCCAAATTACGCTTTGCAGTTTTGAGCACACAAGGTTCAGTAAACTGGAAATAGTACTGACTTTCTAACTGATTCTCTAGATAGATATACTTGCAGTAAGCAATTGTAACACACTTTGTCCTTTCTTGTATGATGATCTAGATGATCTTAACCCTTAAGTTTGATTAAAAAAAAAACACGTTCTAGGTCCCCCAATGATAGACAAAGATTTAAATTCTTTATTGAAAGTTTATTTTTTTTTCCGCAGTTATCACCAAATGTATTAATTTTGAGACTTGCTCATCTAAGATTTGGTTCTAGTGCCTAGTCTTTACTATGTAGACTTCTGTCTGTGCTTGCCAAAGTAGATTAAGTCTCATAGCTCAGCGCATGACAGTAACAGTCTTTTATCTTCACTAGACACCACAGTTGTAGTTTTACAGAAGATGCTTCAGTTCATACATCGTGGAATGCAGCTCTCTGTTCAACCATGTTAATTTTTAATTTTTTTTTTACACCGCACGAATAATTGCAATACTAAAAAAATGAATTTGCTAGATTGAACAACAGTTAATGTCTCAATGCTGGAGAACCAGGTTATGCAAGGATGAATTGAGGGTATATGTTTAGACAGTTTGCTTCCTACCCATTGAAAGTAATACCTTATATTGACTAACAGTACATGAAGAACAATTGCTACAGTGTCTTCCTTCTATCTACTAGACCCATTGCCACTGGCTATTAATGATAGCTAAATGCCCTTGCCCTTTATTTGGGCTATAGATAGTAGTTTCTCCTATGCACAATGACAGGTCAATCCTCTATGAAGTCTTTTTTTGAAGGATATAAGTTTAGTTCAAATGCTTTTGCTAACACATGTAAGGCTACCACATTACAAAAAACAAACAATGAGTGTTTTACTTGTTTAAAAGACAGTGATATATATAGCAGTATGATTAGTCTTTCTGTTCCTTTCCTCTGAAATGTAGCAATAGGGAGCTAATCGTGGCAAGTGAAATAAGGCTACCTTTTGGTATGTGTCACAGGTTACCTGAGGAAAAAGCACCGTTTTATAAAAAATTATTAAATATTGGCAGCCAAGCAAGCTAATAAAAGATGAGCTTCAAGCCGCCTGATGAAAGAGCAGATGGTTTATCCTGAATTCTTGTGGGGGATCAGTGAAGCCTAATGCCTTCACAGAGCAAAAGTGCTTAATGGAGAGAAACTCATTTTAAGATTAGAGGATGTAGTAAGCTATCCTTCCCCTTAGGCTCTCTTTAGGATGTTGATCATTTAGGCCTCAGGAGCAGAGATGCTCCACAGAGAGAAACTTAAGTTTAAGACTAGAGGATGTAGATTGCTATCTGTTCCTTTAGGCTCTGTTCCTTGATTTCTGCCTTTTCTTTTCCAAGCCTTCTTACTGTTTCAAGTGTGAGGCCTCTAGGCTGATGGTATAGAGAAACTGTTCCACCCAAAGTAGTATGTCAGTCTGGAGCATCCAAAGTGTATTGTGACAGCAAAATGATCTATCTATAAAAAAGATTTCCAAATCCTGCAGTTCTGGGTCCTAACAATTAACTAGTGTTGTTCACAGATCAGCACTTTGGAGATCTCTTTTGTGTGGTCTAAAAATAATTTGTGTTAAAAACATCCTCCAGTTGTCTGTATTCTGTTTTCTGTACTGTCTTGGCTTGAAGAGCAATTTAACTCAAAAGACATGAATAGTATTGATTTTTTCCTTTGAGTCTTTAAAAGACTTGTTAAGGGTTCTGGTTTCTTCTGGATCCCTATTATCTTAGTGATCATCTTGTTAAATCTTAAGATTTTTATTCTTTTTAAATATTGAGAGTTAAGCATGTTTTTAAAAGCAGTTAGTTTAGCCACTAACCAGTCTTATTAGTGTAATTACTTAACTTTCAGTTTCTTTAATATAATGGTGGGGTTTGGGTTCATTTTGCAGAACTCTGAAAAAGACAAATTTCTGATGCTGTGGATGGAGGATAGTTTTCCACTCCTACAGTCAGGAAGAAGAAGTAGCTCACACCGGTTTTGATCTTCCTCATTGCTTTTGCAATGAGGTCTATTAAATGTCTTCTTTTAGTGACAGCTGATAATAATAAATAAATGATCTGGCATTATTGCTTCCAAATTTGTGACTTAACTGCAATAAATCTACTGAAGATTTCACTGTCAAATAACTTACAGAAGTTGAAATATTTGCAGAAATAATTTTCCAGATTACTTCTATTTAATGACAACCACATTCTCTGGTTGGAAGGTTAATACATCCTCTGGTGGCATATAGGAGAAGCTGCTTCATAATCTCTACAGTATTTTCTTTCTTAATCCCATCTACAAATCTGGTACTTTTTTGACCATGCTTCTTACCTTACAGAAATAAGTTGTCTTAAATGTGGGGAGGACTCAAAACTGGAGTCAGTATTCTCAATATCACAGAATCACAGAATCGTCTAGGTTGGAAAAGGCCTTGAAGATCATCCAGTCCAACCATTAACCTGACATCGACAGTTCCCAACTGCACGATATCCCTAAGCACTAAGTCGACCCTATTCTTAAACCCCTCCAGGGATGGGGACTCCAACACCTCCCTGGGCAGTCCATTCCAACACATAACAACCCGTTCTGTAAAGAAATGCTTCCTAATATCCAGTCTAAACCTTCCCTGGTGCAACTTGAGGCCATTCCCTCTTGTCCTAATATGATCTCACCAGGCCTGAGTGAAGGGCATAACTTCTCTGTACAGGCTAATGCACTTCTGCAGTATGGAGAAAGTGGATCAGAGACAGTCAGTGAATCTAGAAAGTTCATACAGTTCATCTGTTATTTTAATTAAATTGTGGATTTATTTGCCAGAAGATGCTGCAGTTGTGGTTGGCTAAGTGTGTGCAATAATATTTTTTGAACATATGTACATTTTATCTGTTGATTACTATTCAATACAAAGGTATTACCTTCAGTGTAGGAAGCCTTTGAATGACATGTTACTGGGAGATGAGAAAGTCTTTTGTAGAAGTATCAGTAAATGTTTGCTTTGATTTTGTTTGTTTCTTTAGGTTTTTTTTGTTGTGGGTTTTTTTTTTCCTTTGCTACTTGACTGGAGACAGGATTCAGAACTAGAAACAGTTTAGGCTTCTATTTACTTTTTAACTTTTCTATTTGATGGAGGAATAGAAGTAACTATTGTGAATGTTCCTGTTTATGTTAAACAGGAAATTGCATTTAGTTATGAGATGCATATTCAAGTATCTTTTGCCCAAACAAGATAATAAAAAAGGGAAGACATTATCCACAAGGAATTTCAATACTTAATACAGGACTGGGGAAAAGGAGGGAGAAATTCTGCTCTTAAGTTGCAGAAGTTTTTTACAGGCTTCCATTGTTCAGATATTCTCCAATGCAAGCATTCTCAATGAAATCTGACAGTAATAATAACCTTATTGTTCAGAAACTGTGGCTGCACTACAGAAGACTAATCTTGACAATAATAAGAGGAGACAGACCAGTTTGTTTTAGAAAATTGACCACAATCTTAAGTCATCTTGTTCACTTGAATCACACCTTTTTCTTGCCTGCATCCCTCTTCTCAGTTTTCCTCAAGGTTTAATGAACAGCAACAAATGCCAGAATATTGTTACCAGTTTATTCTCTCTTGGTCTATCTACATGTGAATCCTTATTCCTATAGGCAACTTGTTTGCTCTGTTAAATAATTACAAAGATGTTTTTATGAGACAGCAATAGCTAGTTCACTGGCACCAGTAGAACACTGTTTTTTCTACACATTAGGAAACCAGACTGTAATGGGATATTCCTGGAACTCTCTTAGTAGTGGTGTATCAACACCAATCATGTTTTGTTTGCAACTGCTGAAATCTCTGTCTGGTTTTGGTAGCTAAAGCTGATCTAGCACTGTATTTCTTTTTTTCCTGTCGTTTTCCCTCTTGAGTCAAAATATGCTCCTCCTATTGTGCATATATTGTGAATTTTTTGTATTTTTTCATTACAGATGTACTAGTCTAATACTGTCATGCTCTGAGATAGGAGAGCTAAGGAGTTTTTATAGTATTGCTTGCTCTGGTATGAAGCAACCCCTTAGAGTAAGCAGTAACATTAAAATATCTCCTTGTGGAGCTCTTTGTTTCTCCTTAGTTTTTCTGTTGTCTGACCTTTTAATCTCCCTTGAGTCACCATGCTTCTGCTTGCACTGTTTGTAGCAGTGATGCTTTGAGATGTTCTCTTGCAGGTTTCTTTATGTGGAACTGAAAAAACATTAGCTCTTAAAATTATTTGTTTTGCTTACAGAAATTAAAAAAAAACCCACACCAAAACAACCTGCAAAACAATCAGAATTTTTAATTGCTATAGAGGGATTTTCTTATGGAAGTATCCCAAAATGCTTAACTAAGCCACTAATTGGTATGTAAGCTAACAAAAATGGACATGTGAAGGAAGAAATATGGAATATATTTAGTAACCTGAGACAAGGAAATATGTCCTGTTGATGTGTTTGTTTTGTTGTTTTTTTTCTTAATGAAAGAGCCTAACTTAGTTCTCAGAGCCATAGATGGCATTTGTATGTGTGGATATTATGGGAAAAAAATACTAAATTGATAAACTGATTTGGCAAATATTTAATTGTTAGTATTTAGAATAGAATCTCTGAGATAAAGAGGTACTGATGGAGCATGAAGGCTTTAATCTTTTAAGTATCTAGGAAACTTCAAGAAAACCACTAATTATCCTTATCAATAATCAGTGCCTAAGCAGATGATTTTTGCAAGATGAGTGCAGGAGAAAATCACTGAGAAACAACAGTCTGCCACAAGATTGTATCCCTGTCTTCACCCTCTCTTTCCCTTGAGCAAAAGATGTTGCTCACTTAGTGGAAGGAGATGAGAAACTTTCTTTGACTTACCTTATTTGATTAGCCTCCCTGATAATAGTATTGTCTTCTAGCAGTCATTGAGTTGAAGTTTTTATGAAAAGTACAATCAGACAACATCTGATCCTATCATTCATTGTTAATCATACTGAAATAAGTTGTGTACACCTAGAGATTGAAGGTTTTTCTTTCAGAAGAAAATCCTGGTTATCTACTTCATTGCCTTAGTAAGTGAACAATCTAGTGACCCTTGCAGGTGCAAGTGTTCTAAAGCATAGATAAATGACATAATTTATGATTCTAATCAGGCAGCTTTTTGTAGATGGCATCGTAGTTTTCTCCATGGCAACGCTTTGCAGATGTGCTCAGCTGGCTGTGTTGCCATACAAGGTTGACAGCAGGGACTGCTAGTGTGGAGTTCCACTGTGTGGAATATGTGTCCTTTTCTTGGTTGCTATTACTGTTTAAAACTATTTGGTGTAAGCCCTCTTGTAGACTACCTACCATAATTTTTATTGAAGGCATCTTCTACAGCTGATGTCTAATCTAATTCCTTTTCACTTTCTTTTTTAAATAGTATCATCCCGGTCTGTCCTTTAACCTGCAGGAATGAGAGCCGGCTTTGTTTTAACACTAAAATCTTTTAATTTAGTAATCAGCTTAGGGTTCTTTTGGCAGCTATGATAAAATGCAAACCCCATGCATGACCTATATAGACTTTTGTGTTAGAAATGCTTATCCAAGGTGCTGGGGTATCTATAGAAGTAAAAACGCTTTTCTTGGATGTATTAGTGGAATTCTTAGCAGCTCACACATGCTGTGCATTTGGCTTTTAGATGATCTTCAGAGAATAAAATAAGTCTTGAAAAAGCTAATTTTTATCAGCGTAGGTTTGTGGCCAAGTGAGACAGTATGTTTGTCTCTGGAAAGTAGGACTTCCTCTTTTGATCTGAATTTTTGTGACAGGTGACAAATTTCTGTGCTCCGAGTTACTTCAGTTAACTCTGAAATACTCATTAAATTCTGTAGAGTACAAGGAATTTAACAAAGCGTCATGTTAGCTTTGAACTTCTCATGGTTTGAGCTCAGAGGGCAACTGAGCACCATGCAGCCACTCACTCCCCCCTTCCTCGCAACTCCAACTCCTCCCAGTTTCCCCTTCTTGAATACATTATCACAGAGGCACCAGCTGACTGGCCTGGCCTTAGTGTAAAGGCAGGTCTGGCTTGGAGCCAGGGGAGCTTTGAGAAGCTTCTCACAGCAGGCTATTGCTGTAGCCCCCTCCCCTGCTACCAAAATCCCCTCCACTTACACAAACCCAGCACAGAGCTGTGTTAAATTTTGGTGTTATTTGTGCTTTGTCAATGATATCCTTTATGATTTTCTTTATCCTTTATCAATTTTCTTATCGAATAATTAAATACAAAAGTAATTTTTATCAGAGATTCTTGAATGTATCATGCATGACTGTTGTGGTTTAACCCCAGCCAGCAACTAAGCCTCACACAGCTGCTTGCTTACCCCCACCCTGGTGGGATGGGGAAGAGAATTGAAAGGGTAAAAGTAGGAAAACTTGTGCATTGACATAAAGATAGTTTGTAGGTAAAGCAAAAGCCATGTGCCCAAGCAAAGCAAAACGGGGAAATCATTCACCCCTTATCATCAGGCAGGTGCTCATCCATTTCCAGAAAAGCAGCCTCCAACACACGCAGCAGTTACTGGGGAAGACAAATGCCATCAGTCTGAATGCACCCCACTTCCTTCTTCCCCCAGCTGAGCATGACATCATGTGGTATGGAATATCCCTTTGGTCAGTTGGGGTCAGCTGTCCTGGTTGTGTGCCCTCCCCAGCTTCTTGTGCACCCCCAAGCCCACTCGCTGGTGGGGTGGTGTGAGGAGCAGAAAAGTACTTGACTCTGTGTAATCACTGCTCAGCAGTAATTATAACATCTCTGAATTATCAACACTATTTCCAGCACAAATCTAAAACATAGCCCTATATCAGCTGCTGTGAAGAAATTTATTCTAACCAAAACCAGCAGAATGGCTAAGACAGTTTTTTCAGTGACAAATTACATACTTATCCCAACAATGCATTATTTTCCTTTCTGCAAATAAAGTAACATTCAGTGGTGTTCATTGCTGCAGACTGAAAATGCAGCAAAAATGCATGAGGCAGTGTATTACCTGTTAGAAATCTTTTGTCCTCTGAGAACTGCTCAATAGCACAGGAATTAATCCGAAACTGAATTGTGTACACACATCCCATAGAGTACAGAAGGCTTCGAGTATCACACCAGAGATTGAGGTGGAGTTAAAAATACTTTGATTTTTTAAAATCTTTTTTAATAAAGTGTTAATTCTCGTTTCTTAACATGTTAGCTTTTACTGTTCACTAAGCACAAGCATTAATTATCGCAAGTTTATTAGATACTAGAAAGGTATTTTTTGCATTCTGTGCTTGATTTGCAAGGATGCAGTGCAGAGAAATCTTTTGTTCTGGATCTTCAAACTCATTAAACACATCAGCAGAATATGAGAAATACTTAATGAAATTATTATAATGCAGGCCTTCCATGGAATTCCTTTTGCTGTGCTCCAAAAAAAGTGTTGCAACCTAATTTTTTACAATAAACTGTTTAACTCAATAGCTAAACTGGACAAATTTCAGATTGTAGCTTTACCAAAAAGTAGAATTTTTAGATGAAGCAGAATAAGTTTTACATTGTTCTGAATTTAGCAATATTTCTATTTGAAATTTTACTTTGACTTTCGTTGTGACTCAAAAAAAATTATTTTTGGAGAAAGAAAATTAAGATGATTATTTGTATGGTACTCATCCCTGGCTAACATACCTGTTTTTTCTCTGCTAGGTTGAAAACTGACAAAGCTTTGCGTTTGAGCATCATTGGTGAGCAGAAATGTCTCATTATTTAAATACAATATTCAACTTTTTAGCATAGATACAGAATTTTACCAATTTTATAGATATTCCAATTAGTTTTTCTCTGTAATCTGACTCTGTAATATATACACTATATACTCACGTAGTATGTACAGGATTGAAGCTGGGGTTGAGTATAGCCTAATGTTTAGTATGTGTACATGACAACAGGGCAGTATAGACAAAATGTCTGTTTTGTACATCTGTACATGTATTTATTGTACTTGTCTCCATGCTTTTTTTAATTGCTTGTGAAAGAGGGTGATATATGTAGATTAACAGACACATTGTGCTAGCAAGTTAATTCAGAACTTTGAACACAATGTATTCTACAACCTGGAATATTTTTTGCTTTCGTATGATTGACACTGCACCTTTTCAATTTAGTCTGTTTAAAAATTGTGATGATCAGAACTTTTGTTCAGTCATTGTGTAGTCTTTTTCCCTTGGGGCCTTCCATCTTAAGTTTCCATCTTAACCAATTGATACTTTAATATCAACTGGTATTTTAAACATTTTATTATCAATTAATATCAGGTGGTATTTTAAAGATATTTTAAACACTAATTTCCAGTAAAGCAAAGCATAACTTTTTTTTTTCCTTGAGGAAGATACAAAATACATCTGAAATGATGTGAGAACGTTTCAGTTACAGATGCCTTCACACCTGGCACACACAATATCAGTGACTCTACAATGCTATTCAAAACCTTGAAAAATGGGGGGTTGTTTCAAAAACTTTGAAGAGCTTTAATCTATGTTGGTGATACAGTGACGATGTAATCATTAATGTTTATTCTTGTAGGAGAAAAATTGCAATGGTTTCAAAGTCACCTTGACCCCAATAAAATTGAGTACACAAAGAAGGAAGCTGGTGAACTAATTGAAAAGTAAGCCTGGTATTAAAAACAGTAATAAAAAGCTTGATTTTCTTTCAAAATAATGTTCTTAATTAAGTTCTGTTAAGTGATGATGACTCAGAGGAGATCTTTCTATATATTACTATTAATGATATCAAGTACCTTATTTTGTTGCAACTGAGTTTAATTATATATTGAAAGATGTATATATTCACACTAGAATTACTCAAGACAGTCGTGTTGGTTTTTGTTGGGTTTTTTAATTATTTAATTATATTTCTGCCGTGTGTGGAGGACTCTAAATGATTTGGGCTTTAGTAATTTCCTGAATTTGCTAGTTGTGTTACTCAGTGACACTTAAATGCACAGATTGCATTCTACTTATGCCTCCATTCATAAATTTTCTTTGCTGAGTTTAAACAGTACTCGGGTAGGTCTATTTTTAGGACAGGAAGTACCAAAATTCAATCTGCTAAGAAGAAATTTAATTATTTTTGTGCTACTGGATATATGTATCTGTGGCTTGTCACCATTTTTCACATGCTGGCTAAATAACATATAATATATATGTATTCTTATGAAGGTGTGCTATCAGGTTCCTTTCAGAAGGTGTGACAATACTTCCTACACTGTTCAAGAAACCTGTAAACTGCTGATCAGCACTAGTGATATTGCAAAGGCAGTAAAAGCTTACTTTTTGGTTTTGGGTTGGGTGTTTGTGAGAGGATATAGAACACATGCCAAAGAAGGACTTGAAAAATTACTATTGAGGTGGTGAAATGCAGTAATTAAAAGTTAGGAATACTTAGATTGAACACTGGTCTTCCAGAGCAGATGAATTTTAATAATGCGGGAGTTTTGTTTTATGCAGACATAATTTAAAAAAAGCAGCAAATAAAAAATCTAATCCTTCTGGAAGCTGCAAATAATTCAAATGAAGTTCTAAAAGGAGCTTCCATTTTGAAGATTAAAGTAATAGTTCAAATCTAAGAAACATCTCTGACTAATGCAGGAAATAAATACAATTAATAAAATAACTTCTTAGATTATTGAAGTAATTCTGTTTTGCAAAAGTTCTGCATCGCTGCATCTTGCATAAATTTTCTTTCAGTTACATGTGTCGATTCAATGCTGAACTGGAGCAGATTGAGTTACAAAACAGTATTAAAGGTAGACAAGGAAGACAACACGGTTCACGGGAAGCTGTCATCAAGCAGACTGTAGAACGTGAAAGACAACTCTATGAAGGTTATGGAATAGGTATGTAAGAGTATGAGAAATAATCTTGTGGTCACACCTTCTGCTCAGAAAGCTAGAATCTAAGTGAAATTTCTCGGCATTATCTTTATTTTTCTCTTTAAAGGAATTAACTAGCTGGTAGGTATTTATGCCTTGCAGAGGAGTTTGGGAGGAGGAGTAGGATGAAGAAAAGGAGAAAAAAGATGGTGGCAATCTGACTTGAATATTTCTGCTTTACTACTTTGCTTTTGTGCATCTTTGCTAGTACTGCGTCTTTAGTGCAGGCATAACATTTTTGAAACTAAAGTGAGATTTAATGCACCTGCAACTTGCTTGGACCTTCATTATATATAAAGTTTCTTATCTTAAAAGTGAGTTACAGTGAGTGTGCATGTTTTAACATGCATTAGCGTGAATAATTTATTTGCTCATGTGGGGCATAATCAGCATCACTTTCTTTACAAATTAATTATTTTTTCTTAGGTGGGCTTTGTTATCTAGACTTGTGCCAGTGAAATCTTTATACACAACTTTGTCTAACAATATTATTCAAATTTATTGATAGTGATAAACCTGTGGCCTGACTGGCCCATTTCCATTGACCCATGGCATGAGGAACTTAAGCAAGTTTCTTATCATGAGAGAGCGGGCTTTAGGGTTCATGAACTTCAGGAGAAACAAAGCCTCTGAACTCGTGGGCCTAAAACATCTTCAGAAATAGACTTTTCATTCCATTAAGGTTGAGCTGTGTTTCATGTGGGAGAATGATTGCAGCAGAAATTGTAGTACTGAGGTATTTCCAAATTTGGATATTTCTGGAGTTTTCCTATTAAAATTTAGGTATTTCAGGAAGAAATCCTGGGCTAATGTGACACACCTACTCTACAAGCTGTATTCTACAGGCATAAATTATAACCCCCAAGTAGAAAAACACATTTTTCCTTTTGTTCTTCTCAGGCAGAGGAGTTATGCTCCTTTCTTTGATTTACTAGAGATGGTGGTGGAGAGAGTGTAAGTTCTCTGTGTGTGTGAAGGCCCTAACGTTTAATCTGTTAATAATCAAAAACGCACAGGAACTCTGAAGAATTAAAATTAAAAGTCTCGGAGACAAGAGCCTTTAAAAACAAGAGTTTTTAAACATTCACCTTGGCCATTATTACAAGTTTGAGTAAAATCATAAAGCAGGATATTCTTGCTGAGCTTTTTATTACCATTTATCTTCCTTTGCAGTAGCCATCTATGCCAGCAGATTATCTAATGAAAATCTTCTGAGGAGCAGTCATGTGTGAAAACCACAACATAAGTGTTAGAGCTGAAAATTTCCTCTTAAGGTGCATATTCTTTAAGAAGAAACACCATTTTTGACAGTATTTTCTGGTTTTGGAGGTAGTACACTGACGCAAGCTACACATGAAAAAGAAATAAAAGACTGAAAATTTGTAGCTGAAACTTGGCTGAATGGAAGCAGCAGTAATCTGGTGAAATAAGGTAGAAAGAAAAAGGCATAATGAAAGTGCAAAAAGGAAAGAGTTATTTTGAGGGGAGTCAGATAAAAAAATAGTAGTGAAATTTATGTATTTTGCTTTAACAAGTGAGCATGTTGAAGTAGAGTGATGAGCTTGGTTTTAATACTAAAGTGTTATTCAGACACAGTCAGTCCTAACAGTGATAGTATGACATGGAAGACATGAAAAATCTACATTGCTCTGTGGTTAGGATACAAAGCACAGCAAGGTTTGAGTCATGTGTCATATTCCCCTTTGCACCAACTTACATTGCACTTGATAAAGAAAATGAATGGCTTTAAAATTTTGTCAGAGTTACTTAGTAATTTCAGAACCTGCAGTGGCAGAGGAATTCAGGAATATCTGTATGACTTCATGCATAATCTTTGATTTCTTAGAAGGGGGGAAGAAAGTCATAGAAAAATAGATACTATGAATGTCGTTAAAAATCTCAGTTGTAGAAAATCGTTTTGGTTTGGCTTTTAAATGTTAGTTCTTCATTTTTCCCTTACAGTTTTGAGGAAAGCTGACAGAAAAAAAGCCATAGGACTAGATAGAAAGATGTCAAATGCACAAGCACAACATGAAAATAAAAAAAGAATCCAGAAATATTGTAAGCAGAATTTGAGGTTATTATAGTATTAGTAAGTAAAGCATTCAGAGAGCATGGTGCAACTTCACATATTAAATACACTCTCAAATCATTCATTATTTGTTATCACAGCTGCTGCAGGTTTTGCTCTCTGTCTAGGACAGTATTCATTCAGAGAAAATAGTTGCTGCTAAATACTGTAATTAGAGATTGGGGATAAATGGAATCAGCTGGAAACTGTGCTTTTATGCTCTAGCTCATTATTATCCCTGAAAGCTGTAGTGAGTGGAGCTTTTATTACTGACTTAGTATTTGTTGGAGTTTTTTTCCCCCTATTCTTCAACTCAGTTATTTCTTGTATGCATGTGCATTTGCTATGAAAAGACTATATGATATGTATTTTTTAAATTTAGGAAAGTCTCATAAAATTTGGTACTATATATATATATATGTCTCAGATATATGTAAATGAAAAGTTAATTCTTCTTTACTGGCTGTTTACAAAAGTGGTGAATACCCAAAAGAATAGTAAATTTCAGTCTCTTTTTTGAAAAACAGTACCTATACAGGGAACATTCAGTCTGTGAGGTTGCTGATTTTTGTTAGCAGCTTTTTGTCACTTCCTTACTCCTTAAATACATCTACATAAATTTTTCTGGAGTTCTCTTCCTTATGTTGTCATTTGTTTTTGTTTTTAATCTGGTCTAACATGTTTATAGCAAAGCTATTGAAAGAGAATCCTAGATATTTGCAGGATATGCTCTTGGAACTCAGAGTTAGCATGCTTTCAGTTGAAAAGCATCATAATTATTTCATCTGAATGTCATATATTTTTGCTAATTTGCTTCAAATTACCTTGTATGTTTTCTAAGAAGCATAATGTTAATCTTGGGGGGAAATGGCCTTTAAAGATAAATGCACCAGTTTTATTAATTAATTCTTGAAACTTCAGGTCATAAGGAAATTGATTTAATTCGGATGAAATACATGTATCTGCTAGTGTAACTACTGTACTGTTTGTTAGCTGTTGTTTTCTGTAATTACCGTTATTGAGTAACTGAATGTTTCTTTGTCTAAAGAGCATCTAGAGTTTCTAACATCCTTTTCCTTTTTAACTTCAGGCTGCAATATCATCCTTTGACCTGACTTGGGTGTTTCTCTGTATGACAGTTCTGATGGATGTGATATATATGCAGCCTATATTCTGTGCAGAGCACTGACAGAGCAGTGACATTTCAGTCTTTGTGAGATTTAGGTAAATCTCTTGTGCAAATCTTTGCTTTGGGAGAGAGAAATAGTTACTGTTACGAAGAATGATACTGTTTTTATTAACAGCATACTTCAGAGAAACCAATTGAAACATCTCAGCAGACTGTCACAGAGCACTTAGTTAAAAAATTGTGCTGTGGGATACAGCTGTAGAAGGGCAATCTAGCACCAGGATTGGCTCCTCTGTCCCCTTTTTCTCTAGTTATGCTTTAGAAGCCTTCCAGTTCAAGCCTGTGCATAGAGACGGGGTCAGTTAAACCTACAGCTGACAGCATCTTTTTACTTCTGATGCCCCTAGGAACTTTGAAATAATCTGGTTCAGTGCTTCTCCATCCATAAAGGTGGAAAGGTGCTGACTTTCTAGTATTTTATTCAACTTCTGTGTTATAAGTTAAACTCAGTCACTTTGCTTTTTTTCCTTGTTATGAAATGGTGTTAAACACTAACATCTTCATGACAAAGTTTGAGAGATAACATGCTCTTAGTTTTATTTTCCATTCTTCTGAGGAAGAACAATCTGAAAGGGTCAGAAAACTGATGCTTTGTTATCACACATAGGTTGCTGAATACTTCATCTTAGCAGACAGTATCTGCTCCCCAAAATGCTGTCTTAATTTATTTTCCACTAACTCCTATGCCATATTTCTGTCTTCTGTTGTTTCTATCTTTAGTTCAGAAGAACACACTCCTGTGACTTAACATTTTTAAAGCAAACTAAGAAGTTCATAAGTAGCAGCAAAAACCATGATGCTGGTCATGCTAAGGAGGTACTTCTGAGTAAGACAAGTGTTATTAATCTGAAAATGCAGTGCTACTGTAGCTTTCCACCACAATCTAAAAATATATACCATACAATATATAGTTATTTTATTTCTATACACATGGGACTAGAACTTCTAGTTCTGTTCTTAATCTGGTTAACTCTGGTTTGTGTTGTATAACATATTGCAAACACACATGTAAACATAGCTTAAAAATTTTTCCAAAGCAGTAAGGATCGATTGAGTGCCAAATCTTGGTTTGTCACAGCTTTTCCCCCTTCAGAATGCCTGCTTCCTCCTGACATTTATAAGCCCTGGATGACAGGCTGGATAAAACTGTTAGAATATTCTCTTTGGAAAAAGTCCTATGTAAATTAATAAAGCCATTAAATGCTTTCCAAGGTGTTTTTTTCAACCAAAAAAAGCATTTGAAAGAGCTTCATTTGAAAATCTTGTCATTTAGTCCTCTTTTGTCTGAGAATAACACTGAAATGTATGTTGGATTGGTGCTTTGGTAGAAGGAACAAATACAAATCTCAACATGTTTTTGGGGCAGTTGGTCCAGATTAGCATGGTGCCACGTATGCCAAACTCACTGTTTGCATCACTACGCTCTGTCCTAGAAGCAAACTGTAGGCATTGCTCCATGTAAAATACCTGAGAGAAAAGAAGAACTTCTTTCTCTCGTGGGGGCTGTGTTTCAGCATTTTGTACTGTGTTGCCAAGAGTGCAGTTCAAGGGACTGCAAAGAAAGCAAGAGGGAAGGATGGAGCTAATGTGGCATTGGTATTTATCAGAACCAAGGAATCAGCAGACAAAAAAAGAATTAGGTAAATGTTTCTTTGCCTTGCCTTGCTCAGCTGTTGAACAGTATCACCGTATCTATTTACCAAGAAGCAGGCTGCAGAAATTAGTATAATTGTTATCAAAACATTCTGCATATATTATTGGTCTTCAATTGCTAACTTTATAACTCCGTGTGAAAGGAAGGAATATTTTCTGAATAGTAAAGACTATCTGGCCACAAAGATAAGTGACAGATATCATCATCCTACATTCTGTAATAGCAAAATCCTCTATAATCCTGCATCGATAACATCATCTGATTTAGGTAGAATTTTGCATAGTTTGTAAACTACACATGTAGTTGTAGGAATGTTTTGGCTAGTCCAGGAAGGAAAGAAAAAAAAAAAAAAAAAAAGGCCTGTCCTATAAGTCTCTACAAGATGTTTGCCGACTTTTTTACTACCAAAGGTAATAAAGTTTTGTTGTGAGTGTATGTCACTTATTTCTCTTAGTGGGGAAGACTGAAAACTTTCCATCATTAAAAAAATTGATGTTTGTTTCTGTTCAACCAAAAAGGAACATCAGCTCATGAGAGGAGAGAGGTGACAAGAGTCTATATAAATATTATGTTGCATTTACTGCAGTATTTAACAATGGAAACTATAATTGCATTGGAGTGAGATTAGTTGTTACCAAATAGCCATTCTTTGCACTCAGACTGTCTCATTGCAGATGGAGGGAAGTAGTATGATATTCCAAAATCTAAGAATGTGTTCTGTTTAAACACCTGACATGTTACTGTACTCTTCCTTCCCAGCGTTTATATTTTAAAAAGACACCCACACCTATATATATATCCTTGTACTGCATGGTAAATTTTACAAAGTGCATTTAGCTGTTTGTTACATTTTCTTGCTGAAATTATCAGAGTTACTTTCCTAAGTCTGCTGCTGATCTGTCTTGCTTGCGGTGGTGATGTAAATACTTTGAAACTTTTTTCCAAAATAATTTCAAAATACTTATGGACCACTTAGTACGCATTAATTTAGAGTGAGGCTTGTATATTTAGGTCAGCTTTGAAACTAATCTTTCTTATTTTACCTTTTATCTGTTGTGCATATTTATAGTAAGCTCTGCAGGGCAGAATTGTCATTGTATTATATGGGTGACTGAATGTCTGTTAAAAACTAGCATAACCATACCTTGATCTTGGTTGAGGATGTTAGTTATGCTTTTAAAACAAATAATAAATTATTTATTTTCCTGTTTCTTCACTGGACTTCTTCTAAAGGGAAAACTTTTTGCACTTCAAGTTCTTAAAATTTTGCCCTTTTCTCAGATGTGTCAATTTAGAGAAAGTGAAGCACCCTCCTTTTATTATTTGTCAGGATTAGATTTTCAGTAACTGGTACATTTGAATTCTGGAGCAGTTTGTGGGTCTAAGTTCACTTCCTTTTCTTTAGCAGTGAGAAGTCTTCCTGTTTATATATTGCTTTAGAAACTTTCCAATATGAATCCTCATTCTCATTTTCTTGGTCTTTTAATCTCTGAAATAGTATGTTCACCCCTTTAGCTCACATTTCTTTATTTGAAATGAGACTCACTTGAATAATGTAACACACCTAATACAATTTAATTTCATTCCCATTAGAAATCCCTGACATTATGAATAGAAAGCATCTTAAATTTTTCAGGTAAGTTATTTTTATTATCACTACTAATCTGTTTATGAAGAACAGTGTTTCTGAATTTGACACATTGTATGTCTTTTTTTCTTAAAAAAGAATTTATGCAAAACTGCTAAAGAATTTGTCATTTGAAAAAGCAGACTAGGTGTAGTGTTGCTATTTTGGCATCTCTTAGCTGTTACAAGCTAAACACTGGTGACAGTTAATCATTAAAACATTGGAAGTGTTAGAAAGCTTCAAGAGTTAGAATTAATTTCTGTAATTTAAGTATCTTCTTTTCAATATTCTTAGTAATTTCTCTTTACCTAAAATTCTGATCTCAGCTGTTCACTGATTTACACCAAATGGATTAGCATTTACTGTTAGTGTTTAAGGATCAAGATAGATTTATTGATAAATGGAATTACACTGTTTTCTTACCTGAAATGAGATTTCAGACAGTAATTGTAGTCATATAACATAGTGACATTAAGTTATTTATAGTCAGAATGTAGCATTAAGTAACTAAGACAGCACCAAGTTCTTAGCCATGTTGGCTAAAATCCAACTCGAGGTGTAGTACAGTAGTGTTTGTATGTATATACTAGTTGAAAATCTTAAGCGAATTGATGACTTGCATCCAGGTCAAAGATCTGGGAGCTCTGAAACTTGTTGCTAGCTAGCTCATCTGAGCCAGCAAGCCAGTATGCTTTGATAATGGATTGAATGAACACTCTTGCTGACAGCTCTGTCAACTGAGATACTTTAATGGAAAAAAAAGACTTATGAATGCTGATGTTGCAAGGAATGATACACCACTGACTCCTAGGGCTGGTATGTGGCCCAAAGTCATACTTAAAGGATGTTGGAATAAAGCCACAAATCTCAGAAAGCAGTCCTTTGGCTGCTCTGTTTATAAATACACAATTGACTTATTGTACTGGTACACCTGATAGAAGTGTTGTCCTGTTACCTTGGTAGAGTGAAACCTTGTCTGTCTTATAATTGGCAAATGCTGTCTTTGCTCTTGAGAAAAGATTATCCATGAAGTGCACTTACTATAATTAACAAAGCATTCTATTCATTGTGTACTGAATTTGGCTTGTGAAATTTAAATGAACCCTTTCTCCTTCATATGCAGCCTTTTGGAATAAAATACTTATGTGAATTAATGTTTGCTAACATTTTGTGTCCTCTTGAAGTCACTTATATAAGATGTTAACAGTTACCATAAATCATAACGAAGGACTTTATGTACATGTGATATTAGCTCTGCAGATTGAGCATCCAGATGAAGAAACTCTTTTGAACTGCTTTTCTGTTGCTTATAAGACTGGGTGTTTAGTGTGTCAAACCTAAAAGCAGATGGGCTAAAGTAACTGAGGATACAAATAGTCTGTGGGAATAAAGTGAATCATATTTTTGGTTCAGAATGTCAAATATGAAAGTACTTAATTCTTCATGGAGAAATTACAGCTGCTGTAGCGTACAAGATGAGGTGAAAACATTGGTGCTTATTCATACTGCAGTGGAACTGAGAGTATAATTTAGAAAAGCAGCTTTCCTCTGAAGATGCTTGAGGTAGCATCTTCAGAGGAAAGGTGAATTACCTCTGCCATTCCTTCTTTCTATTTCTACTGGCAATTGGTTTTCATTACTTTTTTATTTTTTTTCTTTCTCCTTTAAGAGAATGGGATGGTGATCTGAGGAAACTGCCAAACATCAAAATGAAAAAGCTCTCAGCTAGGGATGCTGCTTTGAGTCACCTTGTGATGGCAGATGCGGAAGCTAAAGAAGAACTGAATAAAGAAGAGGTGGCCTAATGAGTACCAGCTGATTCAAGAGCTGAAACAGCTGAAGGGAATTTTAAGAAACCTATTTTAATTATCACTGGAAACAGGAATATATTCTAACTATATTTGCAGAGGCTTTGCTATTTGCATTTTTTATGAGCTCACTGTATACCTATGGTGAAGAGTAAACAGTATATTATTGGTAAAGCTATATATTATTAGATTTAAAAAATGGAATATAAATACATACTTAAAATCTTGATTGTATCCTTATTTCTCATACTGTACCTTCTCTTTAGCACGCAGGCTTCTGAGTTGAGAAAGCAATTATAGTTTATGTCTTGAAATTCTGACCAGTTGAGTACCTCTTCCCTGGGCATAGGGCAGTCAGGATTCAGACACCTGTTAGAAATACTTTGTGGTGGGAAATCCTTACCTATTCCTGGTAATGCCAAGAATGTATGTCATTTAGTCTATAAATAGTAGGTACCCTGGCAAACTGAGTCCAGCTAGTGGCAACTTTTATCCCTCTTTTGTGGTGATAGTTGGGATCTCTATAGGTGTATGCAGTTTTGTGGAGAGCAGTGATAGGCCTCATCTCACAAAATCCTGTGCTGTGTGGCACAGAACACTTACCTTAGGTGTCAGAAATGCTCTCCTTTTGGTGGAGATGTATATACAGAAGAGGAGATACATGGAGCATCAGTTAATCATGAAGAACTCAACTCTTGTACCTTCTCTTGTCTGAGAATTTGTGTCAGGAACATAGAGGGCTGGAAAGACTTCAGTAAAATACTGAGTAGTCAAGAGTATTTGAGAGAATTACAGTGTCCTCACCAGTCTATTGAAGAATTCAGATCAAAATCCAATTAAAGTCCTGTAGTCTGTTTTTAAATATATCTTTTATCCATTTTTTTTTTCCTGACCCCTCTGTTGTGCATTTTAAAATTAAGTTGTTTAGGACTTTTAAATAGCAGGCTTGCCTTATAAAGCAACTCTTTAGATGCCTTTAAGTGTGTCTTTTGAGAAGGTTCAGAACAGATTCTCACTTTCAATAGTGTACAATAAAATTTAAATAAAGAGGAAAAAAAATGGACAAGGGTAAGGCCAGGGATAATTTCAGAGCAGGCATCAAGTAGGAGTAGATTGTCTGGGTACAGAAATCACAGTTCAGATGTACTGTCTACACATTGTAGCAGTCACAGTTCAGATGCCTGTTAATTCAGTGGAAATAATTACTCCTGGTGGATGATCTTTCTAGTACTTGATCCCCAATACAGTTCTGCATATTAAGCAACAAGGCTTAGTCCTGGTGAATAGTTAGACGGTTTTCCCAGATTTCTTTTACAGATCTCCAGGTATGTCTTTTCTTAGCTATGCAGTAAGTGTTACTGAGGTTAACAGTGTTACTCTGTTAACATCTTTTTCCCTCTTTACAAAATAAGGCTATCCTTTCATCTTTTAGGAGACCAATCTATTTAGGTAATATAGAATTAACCATTGTCATTCTTAAATTAATCTAAAGAAGAAACCTGAATAAATTTAATAGACCTGAAGCATGTGTGAGTGATCTAATGCATCTTTGGATGGACTGCAAGCCTTAAACCTGGCTAGTGATCTTACCTGACACCAGCCGTATCTAGGCTGTCATATCACTGTTTCGTGTTGGTGTGTTTTAGAAAGAAATGTGCTGAAGTTCAGGGCAGGCCTTTGATATTTTTTTAAACTGTGTTAAATTGAGCTGTAGTGTAGAATTTAGCTTGTTTTGATTTAGAAAACTTGAGTTGTTAAACTGTGGTGGAAGCTGAGCCAGGATAATTGGTCTGAACTAAAGCTGTGTGTGTGTTTGGATAGTGCTTTGACAGATTTTGCCTTTCAGAAGATTTATCTTAAATTTTTACTTGTGTACAATGTTTGATGTGCTTTGAAACTGTAAGTAGAAACATTGCAGAAAGAGTTACTTTCTTACCACACTGGGTAAAATACAGAAGGAAAATGACCAGAAGATAACTAGATAACTATTTCAGGCTGACATCTTGGTGATGCTTTGGAAAAGATTGTCATGCAAAGTTATGAAGAATGAGATGTTCTATATTCCTTGAAACAATTTAGTAATAAGACATTATAAAAAAGTAATTATGACTTCTGTGATTGATGTGATAGTCAAATATTTAAGTGATTTTTTTTTTTTTTTGTTAACACTTGTTACACTTCAAGAACATGTTTACAGTTTGGACTTTGTTGAGTTTGTGGATTTTCTCCCTTGAAGTCCATGTAGTCACTGCTTATTGAGTCCATGCTTTCACTACTTTTAAACTGTCTTGTTGACATAAGTAGTGAAGAAAGAACAGTTTCTGTATGTCAACTTTTTACATTGAATCATCAGGAAAAAAATAATTTGTAACTGTCAAGTACTCATATTTGAATTTAAAAGTAATCTAGGCTTAAGTTGATGTGCAAGACCAATTTAACAGGTGAGTTTTGTTTCAGGATATTAATGTGGCAATGGGAAAGAAAAAAACCTAAACAAAGCTATGTATTTATTTATTTAAATTTCTGTGCTCAGAGTTTTTGTTCTGAGAGGCCTGGCATGGGGATATAGAGAGAGTCTTTTGTCTCTCATGTATTAGTGAGACAAGCTAGACCAGATGCCACTATCGGTTTCATAATCCAATAATGCCTGTGCTTTAAAGTCAGCTATTAGGGTTTTGTATCTTCATGAGTTTCTTTCCTGTGGAAAAATAGGATGAATGCTCTCAGGAGTTCTGAATTGTTATTCTGTTTCTTTAGAATTAAAATCTAGAAAGCAGCTGCTGTTAACAGTGGGAAATATTTATGTGATGTTCTCTGTTCTTACAAACTTGCTGTAGGGAATACCTTGAAATTCTCTTCGTTACTAAAGATTACAGACTTTAATGCTAAATCCTCTGTTATAATTCTCTGTAATTGACAGGGTTTTTTTCTGGGTAGAGATTAATTTTATGGAAGATTTCTTTTTAAGTTGTCAGATATTGCTTCACAATGTCCCTGTGTTTTTTAGCTTTTGACTGCAGAGTGGTAATAGTTAAAACTCATTTCTTTAATTCAGGGCTGATATTAAACATACAAAATTTAAACCAAAAAAGTAACATTTTAACATGGAAAGCCACTTTTATATAAGAACTTATTTTTAATGTATATATAAGATGTATATATATAATGTGTATATATAAGAACTGTTTTTTTAATGTACTTTCTAATTTGTTACACTGTACTTTGCAGTGTACTTACTAAGGTATACCTTTACTCCAGCCAGCCTTGGAGAGCTCAGACTTCTCTTATGAACTGGCTGAATGACATTCAAACTTTCAGTACTGAGTTGTTAGTTGTTCTCTGGTTCTGGAACTTAACTCTGTTGATGGTCTCAGCTGGAAAGAACCAGCTGACATTAATTACAGTAGCAGTATGATTTTTTTTCATGTAAACAAAGCATATGTTGATTTAAAAAAACCCACAGAAGACACCATCCTTCTAAAGGTTGACTGTATGCAGTAGATTAATCAATTTACAGTTCTTTAGTGTTGCAAACAAATATGCCTGAATTAATGGAACTGTTCACCATGGCTTTCCAATCTGCTTCGCAAAGTGGGTTCTAAAGGGATAAAACTGCAACATTTGTGATGTGGAAAAACAACCATACAGTGAAGCACTTAGCCTCAGTATTGTATTTTTCCGTTTTTCTTCTAACGTGTCGATCCTCATGGAACTCCAGTATATGCAGTGGATTGCAACAAGTCAAAAGGGCAACATATATGAACCATTTTCTGAGCCATTCTTAAGTAGTTCAAGGAATATACTTAGAGAGTATCTTATGTGTGAATTTTAATTATTTTTTTAATTTGATTGCAATAGCGTATTTACTCATCTCTGTAATGATACTGCCATATGTGGGCACAGAGTCTGGGATCCAAAAATGTGTATGTTGGGACTCCAACTTTTAAGGAACTTTTGCTAGACAGCTGGCAGATAGGGAAGAGTAGTAAAAAAGAACATCATTATTTTTTCTCAGCAGAAAAAGTTCCTTGCTTAAGGAATCCTCTAGGCTTAGTTTTCTAGTAGAGGGCAAAGAAATGCCCACACTACAGAAATACCTCAAATTGGCTTGTTTGGTCAGTTTCAGCATAATACAATGCTGACATTTCTATCTTCTATCTCTTTCAAGAGTAAAATTTCATTATCATTGACTTCCAGACTTTCTTCCCCAGACAAAGTAGGTTTTATGAAGGTAAGAAACTTTGCTAATGAGGTGTTGTGTTTTATGCAATGCAATTTAAGCTGTTGCCTTAAATACAGCTAGCAAGATCCTGTGTGGAGTGCCTATAATGAAACTCTAAAAGTGGGAGACTTACTGTAGTGGCCCTATAATCAAGTTCTCTAAGTCTTAACTGCTTGTATTTCTAATACTGCCCAATTTCTTTAAAAGGAAGAGTTTAACATGTAACTAATTACCTATTACAAATGAAAAAGAAAACAATTTAAACTTTAAACTTAAAGTTATTAGACCAAAATGCCAGCATTACTCTAAAGACAAGCATTTTCTAAAGAAATACAGAAAGGTGGCAGCATTCTACTAATGTCAGTTCATATTCAAGTTCACACATAGTCAAGCAAAAATGTAACATGCCGATCTGAAAATTTATAAAGTGACAGTGCCTGTTGCTAGGACATGAACTGGTCAAAAATTGTAATCTATACTTTTAAAATGTAATGTTATTCTTTTTCCTGAAAATGTACTAGGAAACCTAGAGGTAAGGTGGCACTTGAAGAAGATTGACTAAAGCCTTTGCCTGAACTTTGTTCTAGACTGATTTGTTCTTTTAACTGTGTTCTTCAGGGCTCTTGTAAGTAGCTGTCTTGCTTCTGAGAACCATCAGGATTTATGATCCATGCTTCATTATAGCCTTATTTCTTCAAATTATAAATTGCACAAGGGCTAAAGGCTTTGTAACTATATGGTAGTTCTGAAGAAGAAAAAGATAACATGTCATTTATTAAATTACATGACCCTAAAGAAAGAAGAAAAAGTTATCCTTTATGTCATGCAGGCTGGACAGTTTTCCATGTGGCTTTCAAGAGAAGTTATCCATTGCTAAAATAAGACCCAATTTAGTTGACAAACTTAAGAATTACTGTGACATATCGTACCTGGGTTTTATTCGGAACAGTGCAGATTATTGTATTTTCATATATATTCATGTATTTGAGCTGTTTAAAAAAAAAAAAAAAGGAAGTTCTGTGATTCAGTTAGTTGTTAGTATCACTCATCAGTATTTGCAAGTACTAGAAGGGCAGGTTTGTCCCAGGTCCCACACTGTCTAGCAGACTGGAATTGTTATCTCTTAACACTGGTGTAAAATTTTTCCAAGGTTATTTTCTGAGCTCCATGTCATAAGCAGTGGAAATGTCATACACCATTCAAAGTACTTTTGGCGAGTTCTTTGTTAACTGTCAGGTTTTTTGACTTTTAGATAAAGCTCATGCAGAACAGCCTCAGTATTTTATTGGAGGGGAGTTGTGGGTAAATACCATATAGCGTATTTCCTTGTTTACATGTATAGCAAACTGAACAGAAATGTGTTTTGTGTTCTAATGGTACCCTTCATAAAGAGATTCAAACTCGGGTACAAAGCAAAAAGGCATAGTGACTTACATGTATTCTCTTAATTCTAACCCAGATTTGGCTCTATTTTTGGAAATGAACATGTCTTTATTACTAAAATTTCTTTGGTTATGCTGTTTCTTCCATATTCTATCTTGTAGATTATATATTGTTATTCCATCTTTGATTTACACGATGAGCTAGTTAAGGCAGCTTTAACAAAATGAACAATCTGTTGGTCTTGGATATAGGGAGTGTAATTTGTTAGAACACTTCTGCATTTTGAATGTATATTCTTAGCAGTCACCAGCCATATGATGACTTATTTCAGCTAGAACTGTGAGGTTTCAAAACTCAGCCCCCTCTCTCCCCAGCTGACAAACTAGGAGAAAGATATGGGGTAGGTGGATACAACCCTCTTTCTTTAGAAAACTAAATTTATAGTTTGGTTGGAAGGCTGTGTATTTATCAAGATAGGATACTTTGATTATACACCTGACAAAGTACACAGATTCTTTTATAATGCAAACATGTAATATTTCTTTTCACTAAAGAAAACATTTATCTCCTGTTCTTTAGAAAAGGAGAAATTCTCACCAAGTAAAAGTCTAAAATAATAATAAAGGAAACATGATCCATTCTGACAGTCTAAGGTGGGATTAACTTTAAACCATTTAACTCTTTGTCCAACCCATCTTTAAAGCTTCCTAGTGTTGGACATTCCACAGTCACATATAACAAGCAGTTCCTTCCAAAGCACTGGTCTTCTTCGGAAGTTTTCTTCCTCTTCTTTTCCTGCATTTGAAACCCAGTACTAGTTGTCCGTTTTGCTATGCATGTAAAACCAGCTGCTTTCTGGGAGTTCTTTATGGAGCTGAAGCCTGTTCACAGCCTTGCTTTCTGCAAGTTAAACATCCATAGTTCTTTTCAAGTGTTTTTGTATTGTGAGGTATTTTCCTGAGCATTCTGCCGAGGTGTGGTACCCAAAACTAGCCACTCTGAGCTAGCAAGTTTATCCGTATTAAGTACCCGGCTGAGTATACTGATCACCTTTCTTGCAAGAGTGTGGTCTTGCCACTTTATGTTCAGCATATGATGCTCTATATAACAAAGTGACAAATGTAGAATACTACAGTAATTTGAGTCAGTTGTTTAATACAAATACATTGTTTTCACAACAATAAGCAGATATATTACTTTTGTTTCCCTTACCTTCTGTCTTTCAGTACACATTCACCCACAAAAACATACAATGTTTCTTTTGCAAAAGAGAGGGAGTTAAACAAGTAACACAAACTTGTAGTTCCAAATATTATACACAGTAAAGTATTTTCATCATAGAGTAAGTTTCATTGCATTATTAGAAATTATAAATGGTTTGTTCTGGTAATGGGGAATTACTATTTATTTCTACACAACAAAATAAACACTGCCTTCAGATAGAGCAGTGTGTGAATGGCACAGCAGGACTAGTTGAGAATTTTTGTAATGCTAATGATAGTCAAAAGTGGTATGTTTATGACAGTTTGAAATAAACTTTATAATGCTTGTAACTTAAAACAGGAAAAGAAACATGCACATTCACAGGTTAGGAGTATCTTGTTTAAAATTCCAGATCTGATCTGACACCAGATTACTTCTGCCTATCTTCATTAAAATTTTGCTTAAACAAGAATGCAGATTAAGCTCTTCTTGGTAATGGCAGCTTAGAGCAAGGTTCTGCCCTTGTGGGTTTAGCCAGGATAAATTCCACCATTGGCATATTTGCCTGAGGTGCACTGTTGGCTATACAGGCAGTTTGATATGGATCTTTATTTGATAAATCTTTTCATTAAAAAGTCTTAGAATGTGTCTTAAAACATTCAGTATACTCTTTTTGCAGAAACCTGTGGTTATTAAATTGATACAGAAAATTGTGCTTTGTGTAGGAATGAAAAAACATTGGTTGATAAGCAGCTGCAGTGTCTGTATTCATGCCCCTTCCTTATTCATGCAGACCTGTATCCAAGGTATGTTGCCCTCTTGAAAAGGTTGCATGCTGCTTCCAAAATAAATTCCAATCCTGCATGAAATCCCTGAAAGCTGTAGAATATCCACAGCACCTGAGAAAGGGATGCACGGGCTAATACTGTAATACTTTAAAAGGTTAAAGACTGCTTCAAGCCTGCTGTAATCTCTTTTGCTGCTGACTTGTCCCATTGTCTCAGCAGACAGTGTCCCATTTTGCTCCTTTTCCTGCTGTCCAAATTAGTATTTCAAAGAGAGGAAGAATGTCAACTGAAGTCTTTCTCCATTATATTTTACTAACTGTAAGCTCAGTTGCATATGGAGTTGACATGAGTGCCACAATAGGATTTTGAAGTCAGTATAAAATTTTGCTAGTTGTCTGTTCTGTTGTCAACTCTTCGGTGAATTTTTAAAAATGTACATTAATCTTGTTGGATGCTACAGATCTGCTTTCAGAAGCCTCAGGTATCTTTTGAGTTGAATTTTATACTTGTTCAAGAAAAAAACAATGTGAATTAATCTCCAGTAAACTGTTATAAAATAGGGAATAAAGTACTTTCAGTGGGGTCACGATGCTACAACAGCAGGTCAAAGAACAAGCTGGCTAACGAAGCAGGATTGCTGTCACTTAGTAAGAAATTTTATTTCAGAAAGCTCTTAATTTTCTTCCATTAATAATGTTCCTTGTCAGTCAATTTTGCTATGATTCATCAGGTTTTATTGTAAACATCATTCCAAACATTTATATGCAGCTAGTAATTTTAAGTGTCTAACTTCAGGTATCATAAGATTTACATTTTAGCAAGTAGATTTACTCGTTTTGAAAACCATGCCTGTACTATGAGGCATTCCTTAGTACTGTCATCATTTTGTGAAGACCTGAAGTCTCCACCACAATTATAAACAGATTTGGTTACTCTTGTGTGTCATTTCAAATGAGAAGCTGCTACAATTCCAATTCGCAATTGTATAATTAGAAAGTTACTTTATATGAAAAGTGTGTTGTGAAAATACTTAAACATTAATCTGATTTGCCTGGAGTAATTTAGAGCAAATATTAATATGTACTTAGGGCCTGTTCACCAAAACTGTGTGTCCTGTCTAGCGAGGTGACAGTCACTTAGTCACAGACAAACTACATGAGCAATTCTGATACAAAAGAACATAACGGACTGAACACGTCTTGCTAATACTGCTACTTCCAGTATTCCCCGAGCCTTAAGCCAGTAAATACATTCACAAAGGAATGCCTAATATATAAACTCCAATACATCTTAGGCCCAGCACCCTGGACATTTGCAAGAATGGGATGATTGTAGATATCTGAGTGTGTAAAGAGGGAATTTACCATTAGCAATTGCAAGGCTTCTGTAGAAGTCTAGTTCACTCATGATTTGGCAGATTGCCCTCTTTGAATGAACCTGTGCTCTCCTATCCTCTTTACTCTGGTTCTTTATTTGCTTGTTTGCTTTTCCTCCTTCACCTAAACACAAGATCAAAAAAGTTTTAACTTTTTTTTTAAAAAAATACATTACATTCAGGCTCCAGACTTGTCCACGCTAGTACATAACTACTCCAAGTCAATACTTGCTGTTGTGTCCTGATGGTAAACATCACAGATATGAGAAGTGAATCACAAAATTGGTTCTTTATATATAATTCACCCTGTTGGACACAGTATTATATCTACATTCATTTATCTATTGCACTCTTTAATGCTATTCACACTTCATTTTTATATGAGAATGCTCAAAACACGAAGTTAACAACTGAACTGTTGAATCTCTAACACCTCAAGTTTACCTGTACAGAGTGAAACCATTGATTTATTTTTTCAGTCAGGAAGGTAAAAACTAACTTTTCAGAAAAAGGAGATAAAAACTAATGTTCTCTTAAGATACACAGGTATATTCTCTTATGTCTACCTTTCTGTATCATGAATCTTAAAAAATTAAATTAAAAATGGCTTCCATCTTCCCTATATATCATCCTCTTTCAGACCTTTGATAATATGCAATTTACTTTTGTGTGATTCTGTGGTAAACTGCAATTTTTAATTTATAGTTCTGCCTCAAGTTATGTCTAATTCACTCTTACAAAGTAAAATAACAGCTGAGCTGCTCTTCTAAATATGTATCTACACATTCCCTCCTTCCTGTACTTATTTTGCTGACAGCTGTACTTAAAAGAAATATCTGTAGCTTATGGAGACATGAGTTTATACTGGTTGAAATTGCTTACTTTTCAAAAATTCAGGCATATTTAAAAACAATGCTACCCTTCAAATGTTTCAAATAGCCTTAGTTGACACAGCTGCCCAAACATTCAGGCTCCACTGCAGTCCTGCGAACTTGTGTTACCGTACAAGGCTTAGAGAGTGAGTGCTGTGATACAGCTCTGTAGTCTTTGATTCCATTAATGCATATAACTCCACTGGTACCGTTTTGAAGGCTATCTTTAGGAAGATAAATAACAAATACAACTTTTAGTAGTAAACAAATAAAAGTTTTTTGTTTTCTGTAAACAAAATTATAATATCAGGTCTGTTTCTACTTTCCCAGCCATCCAATTTAAAAAAAAAAAAAAAAAGTAATCTTGTTACATTGGTTTGGCATTGTCTGTTAAACCTGTTCTCTATTGCACTTTCTACACTTCCACTTTCACTACACTTGCTGACTAGTTGAGAAACTACTTCACAGACAGTCACATTCCATACAGTAACAGGTTGCTTTGCTGGATCCATTTTCCTTGCAGGGTTTTGGTTTTTGTGTGGTTTTTTGTTTTCTTTAACTGAAAAAATGCACAGTCATTTCTACTCTTTTTTAGCATTTGTAGTGTAGAAAACACTATGCCTTATTCTGCAAGGAAGAAACAATGCTGTCTCTGTCAAACTGGCATGACCGCAGATGATGTTTCTTCAGCTGCAGACTGAGAGTTTGTACCTGTCTGTGCTACTGGCACCACCACTGCATCCTTGACATCCGAGGTCTGAGTGCACGAAGAGTTCTTCTCCTCCACCTTTTTGGCAGTGTCTGGGCAGTTCTGAACAAAGATCACTCTGTTGTAGGCTTTCAACCTGCGCCACAGCTGAACATAAACCTTACACTGCACGTACATGAAAACCAGGCCCCCCGTGAATCCAATGGCCACCACAACGAGTTTTGTCCAAAATGGCCATTCAAGGACACCTTTGAAATGAAACATTTATATTTATTACCGGTGTTACACATTCAATATCAAGCACTAAGTTTCAGTAAAATATTTTGAAAAGAAAACTTTCGCTAAGAATTCCCAGGTATATAGCTGCTGTTGGGGCAGTGGTGGCTGAAGTAAAATACAGCAGTTGCCAAGAAACTACATGTGCCTCCCACTTTTAACTGACTCCACCACAATTTGGTGAAATAAGAAATGCAAGACCACCCTCACAAAGGAAACATAATGCTTGACACAGTCAAAACCAAAACGTTTTACTGTTCTTCAATAATACCCCCATAGTCAATAGCATGCTCAAGCAAAAATGCAAGTACCAAAACTGAGATAACTGGATACCTAGGAATATTATGCACATCTTCAGCAGCAACTGTTTTTTGTTTCAGTTGTGCTAGAAACATGGCACTGTTTAAGATACCTGGAACACCAACGTTTACAATATTATTACTTGGTCCTAGCTTCATCCTGAAGCCAGGGTATAGTGAAAAAAAGCTAGTGGAAAGGGCTCTTATCGCCTGCATTGCCTGCCTTTGTTGGCCTCCTTTTCTTGCTGTCTGTGCAACCCTTTCCCTGAACACACCTATATCAAACGCCAGAACTTTTAGTTCTGTGTACTAAAAAATGTAACTTTACAGTTTTTAGTGTATCTGTTCTTTTTATATTGTACTGATCAATCTCAGTGATATTTACAGAAAGATATATGGCTGCTAAGAAAAAAAAATAGAGATGAGAGTATTTGAACTTGATTATGATATGAATAGTGTTAAAATTATTTGTTTTGGCCTAAATGTGGTCTTAAGATTTTAACAGAATAAATTAATGTTGGATTAAGAACAGTCTTCTCATTAATTCATACCACTGCATCTGCTTTTTTCAACCAGTCAGTAGCCTAACATAAAGGAACAGCTACCAGCCATTACACATTGAACACCTCCCCTGAGGACAGGCTGAGAGAGTTGGGGTTGTTCAGCCCGGAGAACAGAAGGCTCTGGGGAGACCTTATAGCGGCCTTCCAGTACTTAAAGGGGGTCTGCAGGGAAGATGGGGGGGGGGACTCTTTATCAGAGAGTGTAGGGATAGGATGAGGGGTAACAGTTTTATACTGAAAGAGGGTAGATTTAGATTAGATATAAGGAAGAAATTCTTTCCTGTGAGGGTGATGAGACACTGGAACAGATTTCCCAGAGAAGCTGTGGCTGCCCCCTCCCTGGCAGTGTTCAAGGCCAGGTTGGACGGGGCTTTGAGCAACCTGGGCTAGTGGAAGGTGTCCCCGCCCATGGCAGGGGGTTGGAACTAGGTGGTCTTTAAGTCCCTTCCAACCTAAACTATTCTGTGATTCTACGATTTAAAGATTATATGCTATACACAAGAGTCAGACCTCTGTACCAGTGCTCATGATGTCAGACTGAACAATCCGAATAGGTTTGTTGGTCTTACATGGAAGGCTTTACTGAGTGTAGTATTCAAGGTAGCTGGCAGATGCTGTATTCAGCCACTGGTGATATATCATAACTTGGTGATATTTGTGAATTTTACCCAAGTTTTACAGAGGGAAGAAATTTGCCACAGGCAAGAAAGCGATCTGTTTTCCTTTGGGACTCAGCAACAAGGCTTCAGTGAAGAGCCAGTTTGAACTCCTAGCCCTGGTAACCTGGACTCCTCAAAACAAAGTCTTTACTTTTAGCCAGCTGGGCGAGGAACGATAATCATTCCCTTTACTGTTAAACATACAGGAATTGAGCTTTTATTTAAATAAAGAGACCAAAAGACTATTAATTGTTGCAAAAGCACACAAAATGTTTCTAGTTTTCTGTCATGGTGACTATTTAGTAGTAGTTAGAAATGGTAACCATGTGAAGGTGCTAGCCAATTAATTTTTTTTTTTTTTTTAATTTGCAGCAAAATGAAAGCATACAAAGAGCATATAAATCACTTTGTATCTCCCTAACCACTATTACTCTAGTTAGTTGAACTTGCCAGGGACAAATCCTGTTACATTTGTTAAATTTGTTCGCAAAACTTTAGTCATGCCTTTCTTCTATCCCCTGTTCTTGGGACAAAAGGAAGTAACAAAGAATACTTTGCTAAGGTGTGTTTTTTCTTCCCCCCCCCTAATTACTGTTTTAAAAATCACTGTCTCTTGCTCTTAATTATGAAACCAGTATGTTTTGCATATGACTAAGCCCATCAGCGACACTTAAGAGCCAGAAAGTCACAGCTGGAGTGCTGAGCTCAGAAGAAAGGCTGAATAAATGGCTCACATTTCCTTCAGAGCTTCTTCCACCTCTTAGCAATAAAGATGCTGCTGCTGCTGCTTCCATGGTAATACAGGAAGCATCATTTTTTGCTTAACTGGTATGGCACAGTGAATTTTATACCTTTCAGTATATTCCAGGATTGCCGTAATTTCACAGATTCAGGATTTATTAGGAGACCAAAAGCTCAGCTAAGACTAGACCTGTTTCTTCAAGCAGAGCAAATTTACGTGAAACTTGATTCCCTACCACTGGTGCCATATAAATTCTAGAATATTCTAAATATATTTAAAATTGGAGTTTCTGTAGACCAGTGACAGGTTTACAAATTAAGAGATTTACACTTTCATTTATTTATGTCATATGCTTTCATAAGGAGAAATAAAATCCCATTAAATATTTTCAGAGATACATTTGAAAAAGGAATTTTTAAACTTAGACAATATTAACGAACAGTACTAGTATTATTCAGAGCTTTCGTTTTTTCAAAATATGTTTATAAAGTGTTTTTCCTCCAGTGTTCACTGCCTTTTGCCCAGCATTTCCCACTTAAACAGAGAAAATGGAGAGAAAAGCAAACTACATCCTTCTCTTCCCATTTGATTTTGTAAAAGTACACCACCCCTCAAACAGGCAAATTTGGGGGCAAAAGACTTCTCTTCACAAACACTTAGTTTTGCATGTTTTAAGTAGCTCCACAGCATTTCTTTGTCCATTTTTTAGTGTGGAGAATCAGCCATTGCATTTGGCAAACACTGAATTCTATATAAATCGTTAATACTTTTTGAGCCTATTGGTATTAATTAATGTGATTCTTGCACATTCTATATAACAACAAAAATTCATGTTAGCTATTTTGTTGTGTAAATTCAGCTAATCCACAGAAATAACTTTCCCCTTTTTAAAGCATAGGGTGATGTAGCTGTACTCATAAAGAGAAGTTCAAAGCCATTCCTAATCCTGTCCTCAGGGCCATTTTTTTTTGAGATGAAAAACAGGGTTACCCATTTAGAAAGAATGCAAACCAAGACTTTGTAGTATATATTCCTCTGTGACTTACTGAGGCTTGTTACATATTTTCTTCTCATAGGCAAGAAAGGCAAGCATCAGGACTATCATCAAATATTTATCTATCAAGGCACAAAGCTCCACCTAATTTGTTTTCCATGTTAACTAAAACTAGAGACCTTTGTCCCTCTACTGTGCTTAAAGTCAATTCAGATAAAAACTCAAAAGCTTGTTATCCTCTTCATCATCATGATCATATTTAAGCCCAAATTTAAGATATATTTGGCTTAGATTTGAAATGGAAAACAGTAGTTCAGTTTGAATACAGTTTCCACATATGGTAAGTATAGTCAGAAAAGAAACCTACTTAGGTTAAACATGCATTTTGTTACATACGTCCAGTTGTGTTTTCAGTATCTCTGCAGATGGGAGACTCCATGACCTTGCTGTTCCAGTGTTTGACCACTCTCACAATAAACACAACTTAAGTCCCACATGAAGGACTTACACAACTGAAACGTGGTCTCTTGGAAGTTCATATTTGGAAGTTTATTGATGAAAGGGCTCTATAGTGTTTTACAGGATATCAAGGGTTAAGTGGGTAATACAAATAAATTGCTATTTTATGACCTGAACTTGCACTGAGCTGTTTGAATTTGACTCATCTTTCTGTCTGAGCTTTCGAAATATCTAGATAATGGGAGATTAACCTAGGAAGAACCAGCAGGCCAGTTAAGCTGTTGTAATGATTACACTAAGTAGAGGTTTCTCTGCAGGGGCATAACATAAGCTTTTAACACCGATGCATTCATTACTTCTGCATTAAAGCATTTGATGTAGCCATGTATCAGTGAGCTCTTATTTAAGAACAGAATGTGACTGGTTACATAGCTGCCTTTCAAAGCCATCCATCGCATTATCAACAAGATTGAAGAAGGTAAAAGATACTTACCATTATCATTGCCTTGTTTAATTTCCTCAGCAGTTCTATCAATTAAAACATACAGTGACCAAACAACACAGGTAATTGCAATTACATGGAATGTGACTGAACAAACTATTTTCCTCCTCTCACTTGTTGTCATCTGTAGTTTCTCCCACTGTAATTAAAAAAAAAAAAAAAGTAATTTAAAAAAAGTAATAATAAAATCAGACTTGTAGAATTTTACAATAAACCAATTAGGCCATTCTGGCTCTTTTTACCAAAAAGTCACGTAGTATTAAAATTAACAAATCTTTTTGTTTTGATAATACACATTACAATAGTATGTGCACTGTCACTGTAAAATACATAATGAGCTCATTTTCACAGATTCAGAGGAATAAAGAGTTCTGTTTCTGTCTGCTCACATATGACATCTTAAGTAATTTCACTGCAGTACAGCCATAACATGTTAATAGACAGGTAAAAGGTAAATATTTATTTTAACTTTACCTGATGCACACTTCTGGTGATGAAAGAAGAAAAACGCCACACATTAGTTTATAATACTTAAACAACTCTTTGCTCTTTGCAGTTGCTAAAAATTAGAGGAATGCAGTTGTGGAACAGTCTTCTCATAAAATAAAAGCTTAAGAAATGCACTGCATTGAGGATTAAATTGAATAAACTTGAAGAGACGATTACGTGGACATGATCGTACATGACAGCAGTCAAACAGCCTCAGTAACACAAGAAGGATCTTCTAGGCATATGTTTGTGAATTACGGCACTAAACCCTAGTTTAAGTTAAGGCTATTTTAAGATGAAATAGGCTATTCTCCACATTTGAACAATGTAACTCTTGAGGCAGGTTTTTTTTCTAATCTCGTTTGTGAAGACATAATTTTTTTCAGCACTTCTTTAAAATAAAACCCTTCTCTACTAAAACGCTTGCCTTTGAAAACAGATGAAGAATATGACATTTAAAATGCCTCAATTCCGATGAATGATCTCGGAGTCGGTCTCTAGCATCCGAGGAACGAAGCAAGTACAAACCACAGTACAACAGTGCCATCTCTCTGCAGTCGTGCTAACGCGAGACTGGACTTGTGCTGCAGGGTCCAGGCCACAGTGGCCATCCACTGGCCACCAGGACAGCGAAGCTGCTCCTCTGCTTACACGCACCCCCAGCACGCTTGGGCTGCGGCTCCTCATAGTTTCCAGGTGCTAAGGATAGATTGAAAACCCTGTCCGCTTCAGAGCAATGAGATAGTATACATTTACTTTGAAGGTATGAGTCTGGCTTTGTTTCCCTTGTTTGAGTTTTCCTGGTCAGCTGTTTTTTTTTAAATTTTGTTTAGGCTTGCATTTTGGGAAATAACACATTTCCCTAAATTGCTTATGGCTAGGGTTGGTGATGGCATCTAAGCTAGATGCTTAGACTTTAACCTGAACTAATATGGCTTTTATTCTAGTCTGAACATTGTTTGCTCTCTGGTCACATTTTGAAGGAGCACAACTGCAGTACAAGCTGAGGAATGTCAAGGCAATGTCACCAAGAGGGCTAACAGAAATGCTTCTTCCTGCCATTAGTTTTAGAGCAGTACACAATCTCTGGAGGATTTTCTAGCCCTTGCCAGAATTTGACAAACACAAGGCTTAAATAACTGTTTAGAAGAACTGAAATATTTCCTGACTAATAAACAAAGAGACAGAGCTAGCAGTTTATTTACCAGCTGATACCTCATTTCAGTTTCTGATACATCTACTTAGGAGTGAAAACTAAGCTTCCATGTTTTGTATGGCAGTCTGTAAAAATGGAAGGCATTAAAAAGAAGAATAAAACAAAAAACCAGAACCTTATTGTCACTGCAGTTCATGTAGGTAGCATCCAGTGATCAGAGCGGATAGACTGTGGCATTATCATCACGGTCTTATCATATCATTACAGTCACCAGGTTACACAGCATTTGATCTGGTGACTTTCATCCTTTTTGCAGTGAAAATTCAATTCAAGACTCGCAACAGGCTTTCTTTCCAAAGAAAAAGTTGTCTTTGTCCAGGTGAAAGAAAGGATTCTACCTTAACCCTGCAATTACCTGTGGATGCTTTGTGAGAGATGAATGTTGAACATAAAGAATGAATTATGTTCTTAAACAGAAAATTTCTGTCATTGCAACTCCAACACTACAACTCTTTGGTCTACTGGAGAGAAGATTCTGTGCTAAGTTTTCACTGTCATGTATACCTGCAGTCTCATTATGGCTAATAGTTGCTCTCTGTAACATACACAAAAGCCTTAGAGTGTGGATCTGAATGCTCAGTCAAATAAAGCTTTTTCATATAGAATTTTAAAATTAAATAATGCTGGTCCCATTACTCTAAGTGTAAACATTTTGTAGGTGGAAAAAAAAAAGACACAAACAAATGACCAACAGGCAGGATAGGTAAATAAAGGAGCAAGCTCACAACCTTCTGCTGAGATTTACAACAAAGCTGTATCAGAAGAGGGAGCTAGCAGAAATGGGCTAAAGCAGGCCTTTTTTGCTGACATTCCATGATCAAATCCAGCCAGAAAGCAAGCCAAGGCCTACAAGACTTCCTCTCTCTGGCCTCTTTTCTTCCCCCACAAGACAGCATGCCTGCATGTCTATTCTATCCACACACACATTTACCACACCAGAAATAAGCTGGCTGGCAGGAGACTGGGAGAGGCCACCAGGGCATGGGTGGTTATGGGGCTGGTGCAGAGCACCTCATACTCCCAGTTGTGATACAAGAAAGGAACAAGACCAAGGAGAGACTCTTGCTCACAGACAGGCGCAGGGGGATCAGAGTACTTGAGAGCATTTACAGCTCTTAGTGTCTCCCCATGCTGTGCTTCTGTTTTTCCCAGCCCTAGCTGCAGTCCCAGTTCTCCTCTCAACTCCAGTCATGATGGGCTGAGCTCAGAACGGGAAATTCAATTAAACTTTGTGTTCTACTCCTGGTGATCCCTGTGGTAGCTGAGGTTATGTTCCTGTCCTACTCACTTATTTTAGCTTGGCTGAACAGAGAGCACTATGTGACTATTGTCACTCTCTATTGGATGAGTGATGTTAGTAGATAAACCAGGAAAGTACAATTCACTATTTTAGGATTTTTGCTACAGGTTTAAATCAAAAATTTAACTGTTAATGTTAGCACAGACTTGCTTTGATAAAAGCACAGTTAAGTGAAATAAAAGTTGTTTGAAAATCCATAGCACAGGCTTTAAGACAGCAATACACTGAGCAGTGAAAGCATCATCCCCTGTTATTTGTGCTTTATAGTCTAGGACTTGATACAGCCTAAAGTTGGGTGGGTAAGTTTGGCGCTGTGCTGTGCTACCATGTCACACAGCACATTAATATCTCCTTAACCACTGATAAATTCACTCCTGCTGTAATTTGAAGCTTCTGCAGTTCTTATCGCTCTCTACATTCAACATAAAAATAAATTGCATCACATTTTATTATCTTCATCAGTGATCTAGAAAAACGTACATCCATCAGGTTGATGACGCTGTGACATGCCACGGATAGACTATCAGATGACACCAAACCAGAAAAATAACACAAAAGTAAGTGCCCAGATGCAATTTTCCTTGGAAACTTACATGTTAATACTCCTAAGGCGCTCTAGAGACTAGAAGGAGAGAAAGAAATGGAAGACTAAGAGCCAGAGGAGACATTTATAATGACTTGAAAATTATTGTCACTAAACTGATAGACAAACACTGTAGTTTTTGCCCAGCCTCCTCTGAAGCACCCCTTCTCTGTTGTGTATCCTATTGTCATTACCCATAGATTCCTTCATCCTGGCAGCAATACAGACTAGAAATCATCACTGATGCAGATGGCTTAATGTCCTGCAAATGCAAACAATCACATGAGTATCATTATGCTCCACAGAACAGGTGTGCTAAAACACTTCGTAACATCTAACAACCACAAGACCTTTTACACAAGTCGCCAAACAAATCCACAACTAGTATGTATCACGAGAAGAAAGCCTGAAACATCCCCAGCTCTCTTTTTATTTTTTGAATAAGCTTTCTGAACATTACTTGCACTGTGCTCTCAAACCACTGGAGGGTGGTAGGAGACTACCTGCTTCAGAGGTTCCTACCAAGAAGACAGCATGAACTGTCAAAGGAATGAAGCTGGATTTTAAATATGACCAGAAACATCCCTCCCACCCCAACTACTACTTACAGCTACTTCTAAAACACGACGTGTACCTCAGCCTGAATTCCGATGCTTTATTGACAGAGAAGTTTGTAATAATCTTGAAAGTGGCACATGTAAAACTATACCCTGTACTAGGTTTCTATCTTGTGTTTTGGTTTTGTTTCTTAAAGACTATCTCGCTCTGAAACTTATTCAGTTACTGATTTCATAACCCACTTTTGCAACTACAGAATGTAGTCATGAGTCTTCTGGGGAAAAAAAAATAAAAATAATAGCTTACTCACAGGGAACATCTAAATCATGTGTAGCCAACCACTTCCCTTTTCTGTAACACAGTCTGTGAAAATCCCCAATATTTTAAACGACCAAAATTTGTCTCCCTGCACGTTACGTCTAATAAAAGCTTGGTTAATCAATATACAACAAAACAATATGGATATTATTTTAATATCCTCTGAAAACAGATTGTCGGCAGATGTGGGGATGCCTCTTCATATCCTAGAGATCCCAATACAGCCTCTATTCTTATAGGCAGAAGTAAATCTGCAATTCTAATTCTCTCCCATACATTAAGCTTTCTGCAAAGTGGTTTCATGAGGCCCAATGCAGAACCAAAAGCTTCACACTGCTCACACAAAAGTTGTTACCACACCACAGAACTGCACTCTGCAAACTTTGCCTTTTCCCCACCTTCAAATTGTAGATTTACTGTCTGCCTGCCCCCATCTGCCGTTTTCTGTCCACATGTTGCCTATTGCTAGTGGTAACCTTCTGTGACATTGGCCACAAAATTTTGTCTACACAGATTTCCTGAAGCAACTCCGCATCTACTGCAGATTCACACCTTTACAAACTGAAGGTCTCCCTCCTGCAGGGGCTCATCACTGAGGATGCCAAATGGAAGGTGAAGTTTTGCAACATGCTATGAATGCTTGGACTTTTTAACTCCTGGGTATTTTTAGGAACC